GCACAACGCCATGTTTTTTAGCTATTTTAGACCAGGGGATTTGATCTTTAGATTCGAAAGTATCACACTCTTCAAGCGCTTCTTCTAAGCCCATTGCGTTGTATTGTTGTAAAGTTGAGACGATAGAGAGGTTTTGGTGGTTCGGCGCATTGCGCGAATCCGCGCATTCCGCGCACGGACACAGTAGGGCCCTCGGTTTTCCTACGTTTCGAAGACTCGCGAGTGGGGCTTGAAAATCGCGCGTCACGCTCTGTCAAAAAGTTATTACAAACTGTAAATGCAACAAGAAATGCGTTTTGAACTAACTCCTCGGGTCGTTAATCACGTCTTCTACCCTAGCAGTTTCCATCACCCGAGTTGGTTGAATCTTCAAGAGAAGCTCTCTAGCATAGGCAGCTGCAGTTGCCGCTGCGTAACCTTGCCATTGATCGTTTTTATGAGAATCTGCATAATCGCTGATGCCACGGATGACAAGGCAGGGAAAGCTGTTCATAAGACCGGCTGCCTCCATCTCGAAGCATAGAACACCGCCGAGTTTTTGGCTAATCTTGTCCCTTTCAGCAGCGCTCTTCATCACTTGGTTGCCTGATGCGATGGTTCCGTGATGCACTACCACTTCTTCTCCCCTTCTGCGTTGGTAGCGGACCAATTGTTTATCGGAACGACAATTCTCACAAGTTGAATCGTTTCCGTGATTGTAGGACGCGTCGTACAGCACATCTGTACTGGATTCGCACCGCCGCAAGGAAGGGATATCCTGGGTTTTTGAGAGTATGTTGAGCAGCTTGCTCCTGCCTAGCAAGGCGTCGGTTTTCAGCACGTTTACTGCACTAAGCAAAACTCTCGGTGGCGAGTTTAAGTTTCCTGTTCTGATGTTGTTTCCTGGTGTTGTCTTCCCCATATCGTATTGCACCACCCCTGCAAAGGTACCCCCCGGCACACTGACAACCACCTCTCCAAGCCGGATATCTTTTTGCTCGCTTGGTACACCCCCACCAATTCCTACCATGAGCCCAAATCGAATTCCTTTAAACATTGCTTGCATTCGTGTGGCTAACGTTGCTGCGGAATTCGTCCCAGTACGTCCTGATTCGAGGCAAGCGATGACAACGTTGTGGCCGGCGATCGACCCCGTGGAGTATACATCATCACACGTCTCGCCTGGTTCGAGAAGAGGAGGGTCATACTCTTCGTCCAGCATAAGCTTCGCTGCTGCGGACTCGATGGGCAGTGCGCATACCCATCCTACAGTGTACTCTTCGCGGCGAGGCTGGCGTGGCATTGGTGATCATTTCATTCCAGAGATATTCTCAAGAAGTATGTAAGTTCTGCGAGAGGGAGTGGATACTAAAGATGAATGTGAGTCTGTGACGAGGTGATGGGGAGCAAAGAATGATGCAAAGAGTTATACACAGAAATTAGACAGACGCGGGAACTGTCGCAACAAGTATCCAGTGTATTGCCTAGCCATGGCTAATAATCTCTTGGCCAGCTGAAAGACGCTTTGCACATAGCCAGCAGACTGATGCAGCAGGCGACATGGCTACCCAGGCTGTGGTTGGTGGGGATCGCTGCGCCATCAGCGCTAGCAGGCAAAGGAGGCTCTACCGAGTCGTTCATTGGGCAGCCTCGCACACCATGGATGCACATCCATAACTGACCGGTTTTCCCATGCATCTACCATCCTTTGCGCATTTGCTGGTGTGGCACTTCGTGGTGGCATAGCCCACCAGCTGGCCTGGGCAAATTTATAACAGGTTGACTGGAGCAAGTAGCATTCTATCTTCATGTTCGCCGCAAATATGCCAAATTCTCGCGGGCCTCCAATGAATACAATCGATTTGATTAGATTATGTGAGAATATTTGTTACGCTTTATAAGAAATGAATTGACTGTTGCCTAGCCGCTGGATGTTGGAACTCACATACTGAACGGCTGGATCACTGTCTCCGCGTATGATACTTCTTTTACGTTCCTGTATACCACGCTAACTATTTAAATAGGATCAAGGTGACCCCGAAAAACAATATCTGTACTTTGCCGTTCTTCCAGAAATTCATGATCAACATTGACCAAATCCTAGTTTTATACAGGACGATCCATTTTCCTACAGTGGCAGCGGGAAACTGCAGCCGGAGCTGATTCAATATTTTCAAATACCCCAGTATCTCCTGGCCAACATATACAGGCGCTCCAATGGGTTTTTTGCTTTCAAGGAATCGCAAGGCCAAAATGGCCAGCTCGAATCATGCTGTGAGGGCAGGCGGAATTTAGGCATCGACTCAACTAATTTCTCCCAGACATGTGGTTCCGCGTAGAAATCAAGACTGTTGATGCCAACGACGGTATGCGCTATCACTGGCATGAGATGACATTTTGTTACCGGTGGGATTCGAAGAGCTGCTCCATTTTGTGCTTGGGGGTAGATGCTGCATTCAAAAGCTGTCTGAAAGAAAAGCTGCGCCAAATGTGGCCTGGTATACAAGGATCACAGCCTGGTTGCTTGCTTGTGCCACTGATAGAGGTCCTCGTTGTAACGTACGATCAATCGGTATGGTCTATGCGAGATACCGTGCGGCAAGCCGAAAAGGTAAGCTACATTGTCGCTATGAAGGTTATGGCTAGGTTTAACGCAGTATATCTAAGAATCGTACGCATTCAACTCGCCACACTACCAAATCCGACTTGCTTTACGAAGCAACGAGACACGCCATCCACTCGTCAGAGACTCTCGACGTAGCAATTAACACTCTGAGTAGCATTCAGCACCAAATCGCGAGCCAATCGAAGCGATCACTGCCGGTGCCGTACGATGTACAAGATTTGGCTGATTTGATCAATAACCACCTCGGCTTCCAGGTTCGCATGCTTCGAAATCTTCACTTACGAGCCCAATCAAACAAGGCGCGGGTGCAAAATGAGAATGTATATGTAAGACATGAATTCTTCCTTTCTGAAAATGATGTTACTAACGTATTGTCAGGCTTACAACATGGCCACACAGCGTGACAGTGAGATCATGAAGGGACTCGGGGCAGCAGCAAAAGAAGACAGCGGTGTGATGCGAACCATTGCCGTAGTTACCATGTTTTTCCTGCCGCCGACATTCATTTCTGTGGGAGTTCTTAACACCAATGGCGAATATCTACTAATCATGCACAGGCTGTTTTTAGCATGAGTTTTTTCAATTACACGCCGCCTCAAGATGGTGCGGCGGGCAAGTGGTCAGTCTCGGACAGGTTCTGGATTTATTGGGCATTTGCAATACCCCTGACAGCTTTGACTTTGGGGATTTGGGCCTTACGGCAGAGATGGATGTGTTGGCGCTACTGGTTCGACTCTTTCTAAAGGCATCTGCTGTTTGTTGAGGAAATCGCCTACAACACCTATAGATACTTCGATGCATCGCAGTGTTCTTTATGTTAAGTTCAGAAGTTTCAACCTTCGTATGTATGCATCTATCCTGGCAAGGCAGAGATCACCATACGTAGATCTGCACTTCCAACGGTAAGCTTAGCACCAATGGTTCTCCAGCGTTCAAGCCAAAACCTATCCATGCACATCGATTTAGCCAAGAGCCGCATTGTAAAACAAGGTTCTCAAGTGGCGTAGCCAGGATATGCCATCCGCAACCAATACTGATAAGCTTTACTTCGTAGCGCTTGTGAGCGATCTACTGCGGCTACCGGCGGAACTCTCGTATGTATCTACAGACGCACAAATGATGATCATGATCTTGATGGAATAGCTCTACCGGAATTTAAAATGGAAGTAAACTGAGGTTTCAGTTTTTTCCTCCGCAACCTGTATGTAAGGTGGAGTTGCCGGCCTTGACTTTCTGCGAAAGATTACTCTTTTATCGCGGTATTCGGGAATCTGCGTCGGTCCTGTGAGAATTCGTTTTCACTTGTTATCAGCGGACGAAATGGTTCGATTTATTAAATTCTTCACTCATTTGAGAGTCTTGTTAGGAAAGATGTGGTCTTCGGCATCGATAGCGGCACTCATGCTTGCGCTAGGATACTCAACCACCAGTAGTCGACGCGAGGGCTGTCGAACTCCCTCTCAATCATTTTGGGTCGGACGCCGGTACTTTCCCCAACAGATACTATGTTTATCCGAAACACCACAGCCCAGGTGGTCCCGTTCTCATTCACGACAACGGTGAAAGCGATGCTGAACCAGGCAGCACATTTTTTCCTGACCAACCCACGTAGCTTTCTCAACCAGATCCTAGAAGAATTCAATGACATCGGTATTTGCTGATAACACCGAATGTATGACATGTTGATGCCAGAAAAGTATTGATAATAATACGCCATTGGACCTTTTCATACAATTTACCGTTTGGGCAGGCACTTGCGGATGTTGACGCCTTTGCGAAGCAATTCAGCTTGCGATGTATTAACGCGACGCTCACTCCCGACCAGATGCCCTAGGTTTTTTGGACGTTGCGGATCGGGACTTCAATATGCAATGTGCAAAGAATATGATAATGTCAAACAACTGCTCGTTCGATGGTCCGGCGGTGAGACCTGCGGCAATTTTCTTCATGTGACAGTATTGCATTCAATGGGGATATGTCTCAGCTTATGCCTTCGATATCAGCTAGTACTAAGTGTACACAGGATTCTTTCAACCGGCCAATATTGTGCCTTATTAAATAGCCTCTAAGTATCTAACGTTGGAGTAACTGCATGACAGTTGCTACGCACAGTTCAACAAACTACCGCCCTCTATATTCACAGAGTGGCCCAAGGCAGATGAACATAACAAGGCTTTGAATGGATGGCATATGCGCCCTTCAAACACATACTGGTACTGTGGAGAATTCGACCCTTGGCTTTCTACGGGTCCTCTTTCACAACGGCCTGACGCTCCAAAATTCGAGATTACGCAGGAGATCCCCAGATGAGGAGAGAATAGTGGGAAATATAAGGTGTTTGGTAAGGTGATAAAAGACGGGGTTCCCGCCTCTGATTTCAACACACCGGGACTTGGTTTCAATATCGTCCCCGATTCAGTCACCAGCCGGGATTTTTTCAAGATGTGGAATTCATCAACGCCTAAAGCTTCGAAGCTTGAAGACTCATTCCTTTCTCTCTCTCCCGCTCCTTAACCCAAGCCTCCCAATCACATACTTCGCCAGTGAACCGATCTTTTTCCCAACGCTCATACATCCTCTTCTTCTCTCCCTCACTACCGGCACGACACATTGCACTCCAAACCTCCAACTGCTCTTTAAACCCAGGATTCGGATCGCAAATCGGCCTTCCCTCACACAACTGCTCCAAGGCCGCTTCAGGGGAGACATTGTATTTCCAAATCAAGTAGGCGCAGACAAGCGTGGCGGAGCGTGACTTGCCCATTGCACAGTGCACGAATACGCCACCACCCGCGGGTGCACCATCGGCCCCTTTTGAGGGTGAGATGTTAGCGTCCGCGACGTGAGGCTTAGTATTACCAGGAGTCAGCGGGGGAGAGGTTAGCGCCTCATCGATATACTTGACACCACTCTCGAAAAACTGCAGGAGATTGGTGTTTGGGTGGTCCTCGGCCCGGATATGGAAATGCCTTAGGTGGCAGAATTTCTCTTGGAGTAAAGCGTCGTAATCAATGACTGAGAGCACGTGTGTTATGCCTGCTGCTTCGATGAGGTCGGTCTGGTACAAAGCGTATAAGCCGCCAATGTAGATACGACCGCAGCGGGGTACCAGGTCGACCCAGCCCATTCCAGTGTAAGATGTGCTGCCGTGGAGGAGGTATGACATTCGGGGTTGTAAGGCGGGGAGTTTACTCGTCGATCTTGGAGCTTGGGTTTGGAGTCGGAGTCGTGGATAGAGCGTTAGAGCAAGTTCGGGAAGGGATAAGCGCGGGTAAAGTACCGAGGCTGACTGGCGAGATATCTTTGGGCTGCCGAACAGGGGCCGGTATGGCCCCGGTACGATGATTTTCACATACGGCGATTCATTGTGCATGACTCGATAATCTATATTAAATGAGAGGTAAGTGGACGCTGACTGAGGCTACTGTGGTGACTATGAATGATATGGTCACGTGCCTTGAGCGATGGTAGAACATGGGACATACGGTCCATCGAAAGTTCGTGTGTGCGTTTCTATTCTAATCGTCTCAATCTTCACATATACTACGCGTCCAATCAACACCAGCGCCGCAAAGGTAACCTATGTCATGTGACGCTCAGCGTACGATGTATAGATGGCCAGGAGATATTCTTTTTCCACCGAATATATGGTATCGTCAGGTTTCAGAATACAACCAAAGAAAACTTAAGACTATTGCAATGACCCTAAAGACAAGTTACTATGATAAAGTTGCCTATTACACTATCACGCTTACTTTTAGCTTTCATGTACTTCTATGCGTGATCACAATACCCAAAAACATGAAGCTATGAATGTTCGAAGAAATTGAGAAGTAGACTATTCACCAAAGTCTTTTTCGTATTTACCTGATCTCTCACGACAAATAGACCGGGGTGGTTTTTGTCTTGGTCAATGCTTGATCCCGGCCAGGGAGAGCCACCGTATTCCCCGCAGTGGATTCTTGAGCGGAGAACATGGGGTCTTTGTGAATTAAATAAAATACTGTAATGAAAAGGATTGGCACCGTTTAGCTGACTTGACCGCCACGTATCTAATTTATAATATTAGTTGGTAGTTGCATCGTGTTAACATTGCGTTATTTCGGTGGGGTGAGATTTAATCCGGGTATTTTAGTCCACCAAGAGCATGGGGGTGAAGTGCGGGGAATACGCATTTTATCATGGTGCTGCCGACTTCAAAGATGATTCGGGCCCCGGAGAATATACAGTAGACTGGGTGCTGTTCAAGTAGTCACGTGGGCACAAGGATGAAGACATTCTCAAGGGGTAGGCATCTAAATGGTAGTGTCTTGAGGCTTCGTTTTTCGTAACATGTGCGGCATGTGAGCCGATTGTTGTTTCTGTTTCGAAACTTTAGCGTGGTTAGTGGCAATGTGTCAAATATGCCGAAGAGACGGGGTTGGCGTGCTTGCATGGCAGCGCTATTGTATGTATGCAAGGTTGTGCTGGTCATGGGATGGAGGGTATAGCACACGTGCTCCTCGGCTATGCACGTGCTCGGTTTCGACCAAAATCCGAGTGGGAGATGGAAACTCAACAGCCGCCAAACTCAAATGAGGTCTCACGATGGCCGCAACTGCACCTCGTGTGACTTGTAGCGACGTCGTGTAGAAGTCGAAGGCCTGGACATTGAAGCGTGATGGCAGGGATGCAGGTGGAGCGGCTCGGGTGTTGCTGCAGGGTGTTCCAAACATAGGGCGTATCGATTGTGATGGCGCTAGCCGTACTCTGGCCAGTCAGTATCTGCATCGAGGAAACCAATGCAGGGTAGCAGCAGCAGTAGCAGTAGCAGTAGCAGTAGCAGTAGCAGTAGCAGTGACGGTGTAGCACAAGAAGGTCCAAATCCACGGGTATGCCACTCGCTGCTCGCCATTGGCAGCGTCTCTGGGCTGGGACGCGCTGCTGGCGCGCCGACGGGTGGATGGCTAATACTCAAGGGATTCATCGGCCGATTCAAGCGGCTAGTCAGAGGCCGCATGGGGAATGGCGCAATTCCATATTGATGCGCCACCTCGTACCCCAGAGTGACCCCTTCTTCAAGAGGAAGCTGGCCGCCCATTCATGCCTGGCCTCTACTCCTCTCTCTCCCCCTCGGGACCACTCTCGCTTTACTAACCCGCCCGTTGTGCTTTCTTTCTTTTTCGCATCTGCCACCAACGCTCGCTACCCAACACGCGGCCATAGGGATAGTCAGGGGACTAATTAATCGTCGTATTCCTCTCCACACCTTTTTCTCTCGGAACGGGCCTTCACGCGGATCGCCATCGTGCTTACGGTCGTCATCGCCAAAACCCTGGGAAAACCTTCCTCACGAGCATTTGCGATAACCTTCTGACCGCGGTCCGATTCCACTGCACGTCAGCTTACCACCACCATACCGACAACTGCACAAGAGAGTCCGAACCATGGTCCGAACCGTCCTCTCGGCTGCAATTGCTGCTGCAGCGCTTGCAGCCTGCGCCAGCGCTGCCGGTGCCAAATGCACAAAGGATAGCCATTGCCCAAAAGAAACGCCCTGCTGCTCGCGTGCGTGCTTCAATTGTACAAACTAAGCCATTGCATGCTAACAGCCATGCAGTCTATGGCGATTGCGGTGTCGGCGCTTTCTGCCTCGGTGGATGCGACCCCCTCATGTCGAATACCTTTGACTCTTGCGTCCCCGGCCCTGTGTGCAAAGCCGGAACCTACTCGCTCGACAGCCTCGACGACGTTCAACGTATTGAAAAATACCTCGGCGATGCCTCCAAGATCAACTGGCAGTCGCAAGGCGACCCTACCCCGTACACGGATCCCGGCACGGGCAAGAAGTCGACGCTCTTGACCATGGCCCAAGGATCAAGTGGAACACTGTTGGCATCTACCCACTATGTCTGGTACGGCAAGATCTGCTCCAAGGTCAGCAGTGCCCAGGGTAAGGGTGTCGTGACCGCCTTCATTCTCATGTCGGATGTTAAAGACGAAATCGATTTTGAGTGGGTGGGTGCCGACATCAACAATGTCCAATCAAACTACTACTCCCAGGGCGTGACAGTCTGTGAGTTTCCCCCTTGCCTTTTTTTTTTCGTTCGGTCTCGCAAAATGAAACTAACAAATTACCAGACACCAACGGCAAAAACCTGACAGTCCCCAATGGCAACGCAGTCGAAAAGGAGCACAAATACTGTATCGACTGGACAGAAGACACGCTTACTTGGTCCGTCGATGATCAGGAATTGCGCAAGCTGGAACGCAGCGATACATGGAACAGCACTGCGGGCCGATTCGACTACCCGCAAACCCCTGCCCGCGTCATGCTTTCCCTCTGGCCCGCCGGTCTCCCCACCAATGCCAAAGGTACTGTTGAATGGGCAGGTGGTGAAATCGATTGGAACAGCCCCTACATGGTCAACGGTTACTACGCGGCCCGCTTCTCGGAAGTCACAATCGAGTGCTATGACCCCCCGCCGCAGGCGCAGATCAAGGGAAAGAAGACGTACAAGTACACGGATAAGGCCGGAACCAACAATACAGTTGCCATTACCGACGACGAGGTTATTCTAGGCTCCCTCATGGGTACTGGCGAGGATCCGGGCGAGGCAGTACAGAGCGGGACCAGCGCCAAACCATCGGCATCCGTGGCCATGGTACCTGGTGGCATCCCTGGAGGCGGCGCGGGGCACGACGCCGGTGAGACGGTTGGCCCAACTGCACCGGGTGCCAACGCCCAGCCTACGGATGCGGCGGCGGGAGGCAGTGGAGGAAGCTCGTCTGGAGGAGGCGCCTTCGTCCAGGGAGGAAGTAGCACTGGTTCTACGGGCGCGGCGACAACGGTTCAACCGGGTCTCTCTCGTATGAGTGGCTCTGTGTGCGCCATTGTCATTGCCGTTTTGGGACTTTTGGTCTTGTAATTAATTCCCCCCCCCCCCCCCGTTGTGATACCTTTGCTTAGTACCCCGGCATTTGATGTGCCATGCCAATCTCTTTCTTTTTTTTCCTAAAGCCGCGGACATGTTTCTTTTTTTTACCGATGCATGACCGTTTTTGCTTGCTTTTTTTGCATGACACAAGAAGCTTGCAGCCGGTACCTGGCTAATGTTTTTTCTTTTTCTTTTCTGGTTTCACTCATTCCTTGGCGCTTGAAATACCCTCCTTTGTGTCTCTTGACTTTGCATATGAGGATAAAAGGGGCGATGGTTGGCGATAAGGCAGGTGAATCAAGCCGCGGAGAATTGAATATCATGCTAATTTGAAGAGTCTTTGTGTCACGTCGTGTTCTCGTTTTTTGGTCATCAAATTACCATATGCTTTCGTCCTTACTACTGTTTGTAATTTGTAATTTCTAATCTTGTCCTCCACTCTATGTTCCTCACCTTTATTGATATCGCGCTTTGCAAAGGAGGTCGTCAATGGGTTTACTGCTGAGTAAAAGATCATTGCGCGTATGATTTCTCATGCCTACTTCAATTCAAAGACCTGGTGTAAGCTCAATATTAGCATTGATGCTGCTTACTATCTCGCTATCTGCCTTACGTCCTGCATCTTGTTATCTCTAATTCTTGGCCATACTCTCGTATACAAAACACATAAATAGAGATGGAGGTGAGAAGTATTTACACCTCCTACCCCTACATCTCTGCGGGAGGGGCACCTCACCCCCTGTTAGATTTGCCATGACATCACTTGAAGGATTTGAAGTAATCGCAAGAGGAGTCAAAGTAACACGACTCATGACGGAGTTCTACATGCTTAGTTTGCATGTTACTAGTCGCATTAAAGTAGCCAAGTGCGAGGTTACGAACATAGGCAAGCTGAGTAAGTAGCAACTGATACCTTGCCCGCCAATGCTTACACTCCACATCTCCATATTCAACTTTAGCAACTTTGTCTATTTTGGGCAGTGATGCGGCCTCGGCGCTACCATTGACGATCACAAGCTGAAGCAGCTCTTCTGGGTAAGCTGTGCATAGAGTGATGCAACTGTCGCTGACGCTACTACAGGGAATCCAAAAATTCTCTTAGGTACATGGTAAAACGGAGTACAGAAATGCTTGATCTACTACGTCCCGTACTAACAGCTGGGCCATTCACAACGATCCCAAACAACATCCCGACCACCGCCGCTTCGACCCAACACGCTACATACACGACCAGTCCACCGCCGTAGAATCAGCAAACCATCCAGATCTCACGAAGCGCGATCAATTTGGCTTTGGAACTGGATGTCGTGTGTGCGAGGGCAATGCATTTTGCAAAACAGTCCTTGTTCCTGGGCATATCGCGTCTCCTATGGGCCTTTGACTTTCGCCCTGCATGCGATGAAGCTAGCGAAGAAATTATTCCTGATCCGGAGGGTTTTACGGAGGGAACGCCTTCCCAGCCGAGGCCGTTCCCGGCTAGTTTTACGCCGAGAAATAAGAGGAAAGTTGTGATGACTAGAGAGGAATAAGGGGAAGATGGAGGGGCTGCTTGGTGAGGAGCAGCAGTGGAAGATATTACTTGGAGGGCTTAAATGAAAGGATTTTAAAAGCGTATCTAGGGAATTTTGGGTTGTCGTATTGCTAGTATGTAAGGAATACGTTATCATTGATTCTGAGTTGCTGGTCTTTGCTCATGCGTCGTCCCGTCATCCTTATGTACATTCCCAAGACCTTGTCAATTTTCCACAACAACCCAAACTCCTCCATTTTACCGCCCCGGGTCCATATCAATCCACCCCGTATTCCCAAACTCTCCCGAAAACGGATACTGAAACACCGTCTCCACCCTCTTATAATCCCTATACTCCCTCTCCCCCAACACAATACTAACATTGCTCCTCTTCCGCGCAGCCTCATCCCACCCCGGCCCGTGACTCTTGTACTCCGCCATGGTCGTATTAACCCCGACCCTCGGATCCGCCGCACTCCACTTTATATACCCCGCCGGCAACACCGAATCATCCATGTCACAATTCGCAAAGACGGACCGGTGCAACGCATTCCAGGGCCTGCCCAACGCACACTTGGCCTGAATCGCCAGTGTCGCATTCTCCTTCTTCAACTCGGAATCGTGAATGTACACGCCATAGCGATTCTCAAACGTCGTATTCGTGCCCTTCCACGCCGTAATGCCTCCGCCACAGCCCCGTAGCGTAAGGAGACTAGACTGGATCCACGCAGTACCAAATCCGTACAGGAAATCCGTCTGGCCCGCGATTTCAGAAGCGTAGATGTACGCGTTGCCCAGCTTGCCAACGTATAGAGTGTCTTGGTAGGAGTGGAAGGCGCAGTAGTAAAAACCTGTGTTTGCGTAGCTGACGGATATTGCGAGGGAAGGGCCGGAGGAGTAAGGGAGGTAATCGTTTGTGAAGTTTAGGTTGTAGGCGCGGAAGTCGGTGTTGCCGAAGGGGGTGGAGGGTGGGACGGGGAAGCCTGTTGGGCCGGAGCCGGTGAGGCTGGCGTTGAGGGTTGGGGCGACGGTTAGGACAGAGGTGTAGGCGTTGTCGAGGGTTGAGAGGCCGGCTCCCGTGGCGTTATGCCAGAGGATGTTGACGGTGTTTTTGGTTCGGTTTTCGGGGTGGGCGGTTTGGCCGAGGAGGTAGACGGGTCCCGGGCGTGTGATGTTGACTTGTTCGGTGTAGGTGCCGGGGAGGATGAGGATATTGTAGGGGGTTTCGTCATGGGGGAGACTTAGGACGGCGGATTGGATGGTGGAGAAGTTGCTTCGTGGGCCGACAAGGAGCGTGTTTTGGGGACATCCGTCGAGAGGATTCTCGGTGGGATACTGGCATGCTTTTCGGTTGGCTGCTGGTATGGCAGCACACAGCTGGAGGAAGCCAGTGGATATTATCGCCAATCGCATCTTGGGAGTTTGAAGTACAGGATTGGACCTGCTACAGCCAGCTTTGAGGCTTGGCTGGCGTTCCTTATAAAGTAGTCTAGTCTCGTCTATTTACGGCTATCATGATTTACCATGTTCCATATAATCATCATAGTTCCGTTAGTTCGGAGAGACTCTGACTGCAAGTGATCTTTTAGTTGAATTTCCGACCAATACCTGCTATTACGGTAGATCTAAGGTCGTAAACGCGGAGATGGCCTATGCGGAAAAACCGGGGGAGTTTGGGGAAGGCGAGATGAGATAATCCACCAATGAGCCCAGATACCTGGAGAACCGGAAAACGATTTCATGTTTTGACGAAAAACTAATGATTCGAGGTACCGAATACATGGAAGCACTCAGGCTGCTATTGTCATAGTTAGCAGTTGAAGACAAATCATCCATTACTGTGAAGGCATTTGTGGTGTCATCCAAGCATTGGAGTAAGCAAAGCTTCTATAGTATATGCAGTTAACGACACCGCGGTGTGCCCGAGCCTAGCGGTCAGACTTGACGGCTTTTTCCAGGCCAGCTACAGACGACGTATGATGTGGGTCGAATGAATATCCTCGAATTTAATTGCTTCGGCTTCGCGGTGATATTTTTTTGGACTTCTTCTAAGTGAGCTGTCTCGCTGGGTGGCTGGTCGAGAAGTCCGAGTTGCTATATAAAGCCACACACTATTTAGCGTTCGCAACGCAAATTACTATCATGTGTTCTGTAAATAATAGAGCTTTGTTATGTCGCAGTAAGGCCGTTGCGCGAGTAGCGGTATGCATCGAATGATCATGCGCGCAGTACTGAGCGAGAGCGCCGCCTCTTGGTCGTCTGGCGAAGCAGGAAGACACAAAATTGGTAAACTAGGTGTTTGGAATGGGAAGTATTTGTGCTACTACGGGAGTCTGTTAGTACAGATATGCATCAAGGAGCTAGTATCATATGCACTATTACCTTTGTCTAGGTATACACATTTTGTGCATAAGCTAAGCTTACTGTGGGTACTTCACATGATTAGTCCTGGTAGGTTTCTCGGCATGTCTAGTCTTGCAGGCGGAAACCATAAATGTGCTGGAGAGACTAATTCGGAAGCTTACCGAGAGGGTGTGCAGACTCCATCTCCATCTCCACCAAAACACCAACACCAACACCACTCTACTTCCACAATCCTGTCGCAAGCTGGCGTAGGGTAGCAGCACATCTCAACACGATCCTACGTTACATAACTGATCGAGGAGCTGCCAAGGGTGTTTTTCGCATGTGACTGGTGTTCGCGCCTCACACCGTCAGCGCCCATGGCAGCAACACGGCCACGCCGACGTCCTGGCACATGGCCACTTGTTGGTGAGCAGCCTTCTTAAGCCACTCGCTACTGCGATAGCGAGTGGCTAGAAGTATTTTGTTAATGCCAAGGAGAGCGCGCGACAAGCTAATAGTGCCCAGAAATCACGACATCGCGCGGTTCGATGATGCGTGTGGCTGAGAAGCTGTACCAAGAGACTTGAACCCATGGAATTGGCTCACCTTCCCCATCCAGGGTCTTGGAACGAGCCGACTCCTGGCACCGCAAGACATTCACGCCCCAAAATCTCACTTGTTACGATGATTGCGACATAGAAAAGAAAAAATCGTAATTTATTTCGCGTGGCATCCTTGAGCCACACTATCGCGTCACCATGTAACCTTGCATTTAACTTGCGGGCTCCGCTCTGCAAGCATAGTAGTCGCTGCACTTCAATCCATACCATGGCCATCGAGCAAGACGACGGAACGAAAGTGGTGCATTACACCAACGAGGAGTCGCCGTCCTCGCACTCACCCCCGGTGTACGAGGATGGAAGCGTCCAAGAAGACAACGCCTATGTCTACGATGATTCGCAGAAGCTTGGATACACGGCGACCGTGTTTGTTATTCTGAACAAGATGATCGGCACTGGAAGTAAGTAGAGCTAGTTGCACAATATCAGCATGTAACTAACTGTGATCAGTCTTCTCCACACCTTCTGGTATTTTCGCCGTGACGGGATCGGTCGGTGTATCGCTTTTTCTCTGGATCATCGGTGGTGTCCTTACTTTTTGCGGACTCTCCGTCTTCCTAGAATTTGGACTGGCAATCCCCCGCTCCGGTGGCGAAAAGAACTATCTCGAGCGCGTTTACCGCCATCCCAAGTACATGGCAACATGCGTCCTGGCTGCACAGATGTTGCTTCTTGGATTTTCATCCGGAAACTCGCTGGCTTTTGGCCGTTACGTTCTCTTTGCATCCGGCTCAGAAGCGCCCGATGGCTGGGCGGCACGTGGGATCGCCATTGCCTGCGTAACCTTCTCGGTCACCCTGCATGCTGTTTTGCCAAAATGGGGTATCCGCCTTTTTAACGTCCTAGGAGTATTCAAGGTCTTCATTCTTTTGTTCATCGTCTTCTCTGGCTTTGCTGCCCTTGGCGGTCACCTGAAGATCGACAAACCGAACAACTTCGATAACGCATTCCGTCTGGAGGTTGGTGACGGTTACGGCGGAGGAGGCGCATACGGATACTGTCAAGCACTTCTTCGCATCATCTACTCCTACAAGGGCTGGGAGAACGCCAATTACGTCCTCGGAGAAGTCAGGAACCCCAAGAAGACTCTTAGCTGGTCCGCGCCTCTTGCTATTGGTGGAACCACGATTCTGTACGTGCTTGCGAACGTAGCTTACTTTGCTGCGATCCCCAAGTCCGACCTCGCAAAGAGCGAAGTCATTGTCGCCGGTCTCTTCTTCCGCAATGTCTTCGGTAACAGCGCCGGAGCACGCAGTCTTCCGGCTTTCGTCGCACTCAGCAATCTGGGTAATGTTCTCGCAGTCAGTTTTGCGCATGCTCGCTTGAATCAGGAGTTTGCAAAGGAGGGATTGTTGCCTTGGAGTCGATTCTGGGCATCGAACAAGCCATTCAACGCTCCTGCGACTGCTTTGTTCCTACACTGGCTCATCACCGTCATTATTCTGGTTGCTCCTCCCGCTGGTCCCGCATACAACTTTATCACGGATCTTTACACCTACCCGGGCGCCTGGATCAACGGTTTCGTCACAGCAGGTCTCATCTACCTCCACTACTCGAAATCGGAGCGCTGGGAGTCTCCATGGCATACCTACCTTCCCATTGCTCTGCTCTACTTGGCCGCAAACATCTTCCTCGCGGTCGTCCCCTTTATCCCACCGGATGGTGACTGGAATGCCGAAGGCTACCCATACTACGTATTCCCTGTTGTCGGTGTCAGTGTACTTCTCTTGGGTGTATTCTACTGGGCCTGCTGGACAAAGCTATGGCCAAAGCTCGGAGGCTACAAAATCGTCAGTCAGCGATACGAAGATGCCCAGGGCAACGAGCATATCAGATATGTCAAAGTGTACACCAAACACGACTAAAAAAACGTCAGACTTGGATGGCGTGCGAATACTCAACATTACGACTGCAACCAATTTCTTGGGGCAAAATATTCATGTAGATACTAAGACTAGTCCTATTTTTGGTGCACGTTTTGCATCTTTTGCACAGTGTCATACCCCATTTTTTTATCTAATGCATAATTCGAACTTTTTTTTTTTACAAAATCCCCATATTTTCGTATTCATCAATTTCCCCCACATGCTTTCAAGATCCACAAGAGCCACCAGTTTTCATACTATGCATAACCCGCATTGCACACATAGCGTATGGCCGTGTTGAAACCAGTCCCCGTGCTCCCCGCCATTACATCTGCACAGCACGATGTGCATGAGCCATTTTTATGAGTGGTTCGCGCGAGTCCAAAGGGTGTACCGTGCGACTGCGTTCCGTACTAGCGCCATGCAAGTACTGCTGCACATCAAGAGTCTCGCCCCTTCCAATCAATATCTTTCAAGATTCAGATTATTCAATTTTGCAAAGATTGCGACCCAAAACGTGGGAAAGCACAATCTGCTTGATATATATATATGTTCTATTCTAGGTCTATTATGTAATGTTGCCACGGTGGGCGGTAGTAATTGTCTAATAATAAGTAGCCAGCTACACTGATTTCTGTAAAACTCTGTCTACAGAGCAAAGCGGAAGTCTGGGTGCTCGTCGCCCAGCTCCTTCATGCTCTGATCCAAGACCTCGGGCAGCTCGAGCCTCTTTTGGTCGCGCCTCTTGTTCTCCTTCTTGCAGCCGTACCAGGTAATGGTCGCGGCAATGGCACCCACACAGGCTAGACCAAGACCAGTGCTGAAACCAGTGCGGAACCGGGGGGCTTCCTTAAAGAGGAACACGTTGGAGCTGACGAAGGCGCCGGCAGTGCCAAAGTTGATGATTGCTGCGATGGCTACGGCACGCTTGTAGCCACTGCCGCAGTTCATGGAGACCCAGATGATGGAGATGGGCATGGCGAGGTAGCAGCCGCATGCGATGAAGAACATGCCCATGTATCGCACCTTGGGGTTTGGCGGGTGTACAATCTCAACGATGAGACCGATTGCGAGAACCGCCCAGCCAAAGATGTAGAAAAGGTAGCGGCGGTGCAGACGCTCACTTGCGTATGCGAAGATGACGGAAAAGGCAGCACCGACCACGTATACGGGGATGGTATGGACTTGAGCCTGGATCGCAGTGTAGCCGAGACCCTTCAGGATAGTGGGCTGGAAGTTGGCGAGCGAGTTTGCGTTTTCTGTGACTCCAAGGTTCATTACGACACTATCGGTTTGTCAGTATTAGTTTTCAAGCAACTGAACGAGATTAGCCTACCCAGTCCAGATCTTCCAGTCTTTCAGGTACTCAAGAGCCTTCTTGAGTGTGATTTCATCGTCAGACACATGGCCTCCATCAGCCTTCACTCGTGCAAGCATAAGAGCCTTTTCGTCAGGAGTTAAGAAGTTGCAGTCTTCTGGGAACGGGGGGATAAATGGCCAGGTGACAATGCTGATGAAGACTGTAACGCAACCCTCGATGATGAAAATCCTTTTTCGAGTTAGCAACTGCTGCTCAAGAGCA